GGAGTGGTGCCCGGGGAGCAGTTTGGACGTTAAGGGTCTTGCTCAGGGACCCAGAGTGGGAGTGAGACCCAGAGTGGGAGTGGTGCCCGGGGAGCAGTTTGGACGTTAAGGGTCTTGCTCAGGGACCCAGAGTGGGAGTGGGGCCCAGAGTGGGAGTGGTGCCCGGGGAGCAGTTTGGACGTTAAGGGTCTTGCTCAGGGACCCAGAGTGGGAGTGGGGCTTTAACACAAAACCTCAGGATTCCATGACAATTGCGTTAACCACTAGGCCAACCCTCCCCAATTCAATGATAACTTTCTGAGACTACTGGTAGGTAGAAGGCACAATCTGAAGACTTTCTATGGGCTTGGTAATGGCTAATAACGGCCATTGTTTTTGGATGGTAACATCCCAAGCGACTGCGAAGGCAGACCAGCTCACAGATATAAAAAATAAGCATATCAAGAAAAGAACACTGTCACTACTGTGAAACATGGAGGAGGCTCTGTTATCCTCTGGGCTGTTGTACTTCATCTGACACAGGGTGTCTAAATCTCTGCAGGTTACAATGAAATATCAAGACTATTAAGGGATTCAAGAGGAAAATGTGCTGCAGTGTCAGAAAGCTTGGTCTCAGCAGCAGGTCATGGGTTTTAAACAGAATAATGACCCAAAACAGACAGCTAGAAACAGCCAACAATGGCAAAACATAAGACTATTCTGAAGTGGTCATCTATGAGCTTTCACCTTAATCCTATTAAGCATCTTTGAAAGAAGCTGAAACATAATGTCTGGAAAAGGCTCCCTTCAAACTGAGACAATTAGAGCAGTTTGATCATGAGGAATGGGCCAAAATACCTGCTGAGAGGAGCAGAAACCTCACTGACAGTTATAGGAATCATATGATTGCCTTAAAATGTTGGGCAACCAAATATTAAGTTAAACGGCACCATAATTTTAGTCTGGTCCTGTTTCAGGAGCAGCATCTGACTTTCATTTGTTAATTTTCATTTAAATTGTATTTATTATCACTTTTGGCAGATGTCAAGTTATTTCTGTGGCCATTGGGAGTTTTTTTCTTTCATTGAACGAGCTGTACCAACAATTTATCAAGGTGTGTACAGATTAAGACACCTATGTTTACATTTTTATCTTACCCCAATCAACAAGGTCAGAGATACAGAGCAAACATTAACGTCTTTACTAAAGGACTAGACTGGGGTTAAAGTTGCTGCCACAAACACAACTACTAGGAAAACTGAACCAAATAGAATTTTTCTTCCACTTCAGAATTTTCTGCTGAATTCTACTAATCTAAAATAAACTGAAGTTTGTCTTCATAACAGGAAAGCACATTAAACCGTTTTAAAGGTTTATTAAGCTTTGCATGGCATCGCTGTAGATGCTGTAGAGGCAGATCTCCACAGTCCTTCAGTTAGAGATGCTTCCAGAATTGGAACAAACATTCATCCTTTAAAATGGTGGGAGACCAATAAACAGGAAGGATCTTCATGCGGCCCGATCGTCTCATTTCAACAGGCTGAATGTAAATACCAGCTAAGATCAGATGTTAAACATTCCCCTCATTGACGCAAGTCGCACCAGGATGACTGTAAATCATCCCTGAACTGATACAGTTATTTTCATAAACAATTACAGCTGACAGCTGGAGACGTTAACCGGGGCTCATCCTTTCTGCTCTCCTTTCCTCTCAGCAAAGAAATAACCTCATTAGGATTTAAACCTTTTTGAGCAGAGGCCGGAAACTTCTCTAGGATATAATCGGGTTAATCTGGTTTGGCCATGTATCTGTGTAAACAGAAGCACCCTAAAGTTTAGGAGTGAACTTTTTACGTTAGTCTGTGAGATGAATGAACATCCTGAGAGAAGAAGGAAGACAGAAAGGCAGGAATCAATGTGTCATCAATGGACAGGAAACTGATGGCCACTAAAACTAGTTGAGGGTCAATCTGCAGTATACTGGTCATTATGGACCAAAAAGAAAATAAACAAACATCTCCTCCTCCTGCTGATAGTGCATTTGGTGTGAAGCTTTGAGGAATTACAAGAAACTGCTGCTGCTCCCTAAATGCACCAATGAGCGTTATCGCAGATCCTTCCTGCCAGCAGCTGTAAGACTTAATAACCATCACTGATTCGAACAACCTCAATAAGTTGTTATATTCATGCTGATTTTTGCACAGTATCTGTACTGGTCAACTAATCTCTCAAAACCCACAGTTTTGAAGCGTTTACAACTAATAACTGAGAATGCATGAAAAATTACACCGTTAAAATGTTTACCAATGTAGACATGTTAGATAGAAAGCTTAGATTCTCCACAATTTAACCAACACTTTCATTTTATGGACACAATGAGCACCAGAGCAGAATGAACACAGATATAGCAGCATGTCAAAATGTAAACATGAAAAAACAGCCACAACAGCCAGCATGTCTTTATTACTGCTGTTAAAAAAAAAATAATACATATAT